TTGCTCATGGCAGTAGAAACCTGAGAACATGACAATGTGTTGGAGTCTAGGCTCAAACAGTTTTGACTGCTTATGTTTTTCTTTTCTTTTCTCTGTTTTTTTCCTTTTTTGAGAGGAGTCTTTCTCTCTGTCACCCAGGCTGGAGGGCAGTGGCATGATCTCGGCTCACTGCAACCTCCACCTCCCAGATTCAGGCAATTCTCCTGACTCAGCCTCCTGAGTAGCTGAGACTACAGGTGTGTGCCACCACACCCAGCTAATTTTTGTGTTTTTAGTAGAGGTGACGTTTCACCATGTTGACTAGACTGGTTTAAAACTCCTGACCTAACGTGATCCTCCCGCCTTGGCCTACTAAAGTTCTGGAATTACAGGCATGAGCCAGCATGCCTGGCATGCTTCTGTTTTTCTTTCAGAATGCTGCCATCTTCATGAAAAAAAGCCCATATTAGGCCAGGCGCGGTAGCTCACACCTGTAATCCCAGCACTTTGGGAGGCCAATGTGAAAAAACACAAGAACGGTATCCAATGCCAGCGTACCTCTGAATGGAATAATAAAAAGAAAAACTTTAAGGCACGTCTTTTCAGGCCGTGTAGGCTGACGAAGATGTGATTTGATGCTGGGCTGAGAAGGAAAGGTGAAAGCCAGGCTGCAGCCTTCGACAGGTCTTCTTCCTGAAGCTGAGTCAGGCCCACACCAGAAGGGTAATTGCCCCTCTAAACTCGTGTATTCAAGGTTATACATTGCATTCAAAATAACGTATATTTATGGCCTATTCACAAAATGAACAAAGTATAACAAAATTGTTCCTAAAATTTAGTATTTTATGACTTCCTGTATTCCCTGGTCCTTTCGATCAGACAATCCTCTGGAAATAAAATGCGAAGTCACATGTGAAATTTAAATTTCTAGCAAACTTAACAAGAAAGAATGAAAACAAGTGGAATTAATTCCAACATTTAATTAACCCAATATTATTTCAAAATATTTTCATTTTATATGTAGCAATAGGTTTAATTATTAAAAGTAATTACATACATTTGATAACAAATCTTTGAACCATAATTCTGTATTTTTAACCATTTCAGCACATGCAGTTCAGCCAGCCACATTCCAGGCCATCCACAGGAGCCACACATGGCCAATATCCATGCCAAACTGAGTCAGCTGTGATGTCAGTGGGAATGAGGGGCCCTGACACCACCTTTTTTATTGCCACCCGGTGAGGACAGCTCTAATTTATAACACATTCTTTCAGTTTCCGAGGTGAAACAAATATATGTGTTAAGAAAAAACTGATAGCATGCAGGATAAACCACAGGTAAATCACGCTTACCACCGCGGTTGCCTCACCTTCCTTTAAGATCAGACGTGACAAAGATGAATTGGGCCACAGAAAAAAAAACGATGGGTCTTCAGATCTTTCAACTGTCCTGACCTTTAATGTTACATAGGGAAAATAGATTAAAAGGCACAACTTAATTTTGCTATTTGACCATTGACCCTAATGGATCCAGGCTTGTGTAGCTGTTTTCTCCTGTGTTTGGAACTGACATATAAGCAATCAAAACATGCATCATTCCACATGATCACATGTATTTCGGCGTTTCTATCCTCTTTTTTTTATTTTTTTGGAGATGGAGTTTCACTCTTGTTGCCCAGCTAAAGGTAGCAATGACAATAAAGTCATAAATGCTTACACCAGCAATGATCTGCCTAACAATGAAGAGTCAAATCAGCGAAAATTCAACATCACTAACAAAAAAAAAATCACCACCGATAGCTGGAAATTAGAGGCACATAGCCACACCAAGCTTGGCTAAAATAATTATATTAGTGATTTTATAGAAAAAGAGGATTATATCTCATGATTCAAGAATCAGCTGAGATCACATTAAGAAACTACCAGCAATAGATGAATCACAAAAACGCCTTAGGGCCTCCCAAAGTAAGGATTATAGGGTGATGAGCCACCCCCCACCGCGCCTCATTTACTGCATTTTACTAAAATAACTAATTATAGATATCCATAAACTTTAATGGAAATAATCAGTACACCATCATTTAAGTGCACAAATGAATAAAGAAGAAGAAAAGTAAATAAAACGATATATAAAATAACTTAAGCATTACATAGAATATAACAAAAAAACATAAGCGAACCATAGCATTAGTTGCATAAAATAGCTAAGACCATAACATACAAACCATCCAAACTGATTAGTTCATATTGAATTGCTCCAGTCATTATAGCTGGCTCAGTGGGCCTTCTCTCCTGCTTCACATCAGACTAAAGGCTACCTTCAGACAAGTAATCTTAAAATAAAAAAAAAAACAGAGCTGCTCATCTGCCTAAGGAAAGACAAAGAAAAACTTATAGAAGAGATATAGAACTTCTGCTTCCTAAGGAACTGTCAACAGGATACCTTGCTCCTCTCCTCCTATAGTATCTATACTCCAGCTGGCTATATGGGCTTTTTTTTTTTTTCTTTTTTGAAGATGGAGTCTTGGTTCTGTCACCAGGGTGGAGTGCAAGTGTGGGCGATATCCTGTTCACGCCAAGGCTCCACCTCCCTGGGTCAGTGGATTCTCCATGCCTCGCCTCCTGATAGATGGAATTACAGGCGACCTCACTACCATGCCTTGGCTAATTTTTGTATTTTTAGTAAGGACGGTGTTTCCCATGTTAACCAGGATAGTCTCCATTCTCCTGACCTCATGATCGGCCCACCGTTGGGCCCCTCCACCAATATGTGCTGGATTACAGTTGGGTACTACGCACGCCCTTGGCCCTATATCGGTGGGGGCCTTTTTTCATGA